TTACACGGATATACCGGTATTCATCGTCCCACCACTTCCCAGTGCCGTTGTCGGTTGAGTTGGACACGTTACCGAAATCATGATAAACACCGATCACTGTCCCAAGCGTACTTTCACCAGAATAAATTGAAATGACTAATCATTTGTCTGACTCTACTATTGAAAGCAGTTTCTTTTACACCACTAGCACTGGTGTGAATAGGTCGGCAGGAAACGATTTAAGCTAAAAGCTTGTGCTTAGGGCGAAAGAAAGTTGATTATAACCATCTGTACATATTGTATTGATCATGTACGGAGCTCTTTGACTGAGCTTTCAATCTTTCACAAATGTTTTGTTAGGTTAGCGTAAAAATAGTACCCGTTATGTTGTTTTGACGTCTGTAAAAAAATATCTGTAATAAATATTTGTCGCTCACATTACTGATGTATACTTAGTACCAATTTCTTGAAGGAATTTGTTTTGTGGCCATTTCTTTAATACGTCGTTAGCGATGATCCACATAGATTTAAATAGTCCCTTTCAAATAATGAAGACCTTACCGTTTTGCTTTGTGAATCGAAACTCGGGCATAACCTTGAATGAATTTGTAAGGCCATTAAAACATGAATATTGAAAGTGTTCCCGAACACTCAATACGCAGATAGCTCGAAAAGGTTTCCATCGGAAAGCGTTCGTAGCGGAGAATGTGGAGTGAGTGAATTCAAAATTGACACCACATCTTGTATCTGATCAACGAGGCCTCCAAAAATAGTATGAGAAAGGTGGAAGAAAAGTAGGCATAGAACTCTGCAATCACTCATTATTCGAAAAGCATTGAAAGGGTGAATAAGTTCGCTAAGCTGGTACGCCAAAAATGAACGAATGGTACCGAGGCTTCTTATACTAAGCCTGCTCTGTTTTTCCATGACAACGAAAACGAGCTATCTATGGTGTTAAGAGATACGGAGGTAACTGAATCTCAAACAGGCCAGACGAACTTTAGCAGTGAAATCGCGATCAAATGAAAGTCATAAACTCTTTCTAGGACCAAAATGACATCGAAACATGAGCTTCATCTCCTCGTTATCGGCGGAGAGAATCATGTAATGTGAGTAGTCGATCCTGGTGAGACGTTGACAACAGAGAAGTGCTGTCACAGCAATGACGAAATCATGCAATTTCTTTTCTTGTAACAGCATTGGATAAGACGTTAAACATAATCCATGCTTCACTCCTCTATTCTTCAAACCGTCTGCTAATCAGTCACCAGTTTTTGAGTGTTTTTTCTAATACTACAACTCTAGAACTGTCTAGGAACACCTTCAGCAAAAAAGCCATTGCGAAAATTGCTCAAAAATTTCGTTACCTCCAAAATTGGAGTGATTGTAACAAAATATTATTAGATATCTTCATCTCTTTGTGGATGGAGTACATTGATTGAAAGACACTCGTGTACGCTGGTCTTTTCACTGAATAAAGCTTTTCACTGGACTGATAGTAGGCTTTCAATAATTCCAGCATTAATTTCAGCTTTATCCTGTGCTGGACAAGTGAAACAAGATGTATGTTTTGCCTTTGGACGGATCTTACGTTTTGGTATCAGAGCAATTTTTCCAGTTTCGCAGCCGATTTCTTGAGCTCATTATGTAAAATTAGATCTTAAAAGCACATTACTGTTATAAAACATAGATTATCAGTGGAAAAACTTCTATAAGGTATTTTTAGTAAAAAAAAAATAAAGAACGTCCCTGTCTCCTGAGAATGACGCGTACCAAGAGGAAAACTAAATTCTCGCGAAAAGAGAAAGCTTTCAAACGTTATTGCAAATTTTTGTTTCTTGTAACTCGATGACAACACCCCTTCTACAATGTAGAAGTTTTGGAAAGAGCATATGTTGAGGTTTCTTTAGTACTTAGCCGAACTAGGCGTAGAAAGAGAGGGCTTTCGTCGTTGTATAGCGCATTTGTTCGAGGAAAATTGGACATTTCCAATCCGTATTTTTTGAATATCTTATTGATGTCGTGAATCTTTTGCTCAGCTATTGTATCTAGCGTACCACATGCTGAGTTGATCAGTATCCTTCAAAAACAATTTGTCTCTGTACATGCAGCCCTAGTCAACAATTTATCCCATAAGCCATTATATTTTCTCCTTCATTCTTCTATGCGAGTACCATCATATCATTTTGATTTTGGAAGCTTTTGAATTGTCTCATGCCCAGTTTTTGCTGTAGTTTCTTTGGTAGACAGTTCTTTGTTCTTCCCGCACGTCCCGTTCAGGTATGTTTATGTAGAAAATTTCCAGATAGGGAAGCGCTAGTGCGCCAGATGTGAACGTAAAGATGTTTGCGTTTATCTAGTACGCCGTCCATTATGTCCATCACAGCACTATCGAGAAGAACTCGTCCGTCCAATCTGAGAGCTGCGCATGCACCTACGTACCACATCGTAGTATAGATGCACTCTCTTTCATTGCACAGTTTGAATATCTCTAATCCATATTTACGCTTCAGCAAGGGTTGCACTCTTCAGCTTCTGAAGATATTGTTGTTCGCCGTTCATATCACCATCCTTAGAGCTAGCACCTGTCTCAAGTGCATTGCTTTTTGAGCTGTCGTCGATCTCCTCTCCGCTACAGTTTTCCAGTAGGAATTGAGCAGGATTTCATAGCCTTCATATGGACACGTGACAAGACAGTTTATTCAAAATATTTATTTAGGTATACTCTTCCGTAGAAGTTCTACGATTAGCAGCTCTACAATAGCGTGCAAGGAGCTGGCTCTTCCTACATGAAATTTGCAACGTATTTTCGCAATGATATGTACATTACAATACCAGGGCAAGATCGACAGTCATCACCTACAGCTTCACAATGTCCACACTCCTACAAGTACGCAGTTGCGTTGAAGAATATCATTTTCTCAGATATACATTGGCTAGCAGTAGCAAGTGCGGGCCGCCAAGATTTCTGATTCTGATGTAGCAGTCAATCGAACAGATTATTGAAATTTTTGGCTTCGGCTGTCTCAGAAAAGCAGATTCGTCTACCTAAACTGCTGTTATAGAACATGATAAGCCGCAACAACGATAATACGGAACATCTCGCCTGCTCAACAGTTCTCTCGAAGTTCAACAACGAATACTTCAAAATGAGCCATGCAGTGAAATAAATCATGTAAAAGAGAAGATACCCACGTTGGTATAAATGGCGGGAAATTTTTAAAGCAAGCAAATGGCAGATCGGGAGGTCTTTGATGGATGATACTAATGACATACTAATGACACCAGCCAAGAGCAGTCGAGAATGCAATACTGTATGTTCAGTGGTAATTTCACCTGACATACAGTGTAAAATGTTCGTCGTTGCCTACTCTTAGTATAGAGGACTGAGCGCCCCGAGGGAATTGGCTGAAGACTAAGGATACCGCTCGACTGATGAGACCGTCAAAGTCGAAATACGTGTATCGGGCTCTATAAGTCAGCCCCATTCAACAGACCACATGACATGTTAGCTCTATTAATAATTACGAGGTAGGTCTTTGATGCATTGATGGAGTATCAAAAGCAATTGCGCCTGGTGATATCAAAACTATATGGAGAGGCAAAAAGTGCACGACGTATAGGTGTTGTCAAGTAGCTCCCAAATAGCATGCTTTGTCAATCCCAGACAACCAAGAGCATGAACTTCGCAGCATGGAACATGGTTTTACAGTTAAGCGGGCGGGTCTTTGCCACAAGCCAACTATTAGGCATAGTGTGTATTGCTTTCGCAGTAGAGCCGGGACTATCTCCAGTGATGATCGAGTTGAGGAAATGTTGCCTGTGCGATCGCAGTGGAGGCTTTTCGCAGATGGTCGTGTGTACAGCGCGGTCGTGGTCGATTACTACATAAGGTGTCCATCCAAATATCACTTTGCATAGACCACTAGAGTTTTAAAGTGTTTCAGCACGCTGCAGCCTTTTGGAAATGCACTGATTTAAAATAGAAAAGAAAACCGGGTAAAGCAAGGGAAATTAAAACCAATACTAAAAACCTCTATAAAATCTTTTTTTCAAAATTCTATTATCTAGTAGTGATCATGTCTTCTTAAAACCTCAATTTACTAGTAAATTCCTATTTTTGGAAAGAAGGGATTCTCAAGGCAGCTGGACGCTGTCTTCACTGAAAATACATTCATAAAGATTCCGTCAGTAAAATTCAATCTTTCGTAACCACAAAATTTGCCTCTTTCAACTATTTGATACCGAAAAATTCACAGTGAAGTTGAAATAACGTACATCAAAAGCAAGACCTATTGTCCTTTTCGTTAATAGAACGAAAAGAGGATGACTTCCCAGGAACCAAGTTTAGTATTGAAATCATATTTCACAAGCTGATGAAAGACTAAAAAGCATAGATAAAATAGGAGACGTTGGTTATTTAACAGCTGAAAATTGCACTTCTGCAAAAAAGATGCGGTTTTTATCGTTGGAAAAAAAGAATATTTTTGGCACGTAAGACTTCTTTATACTGGAAAAACCCTGCAAAGAAGACTGTAATGTAATATTCCACCAATTAATAATGAAGATGTCTTTCCAGAACTTCAATTCACGAAATGAATTTTCAAATTCCCACTGCACAGCGCGACAACACAAACTGCCCGATGCTAGCGCTGCGATCGGCGCTAGCTGGACGTGGTCTATTAGTGAACTGCGTCCTTCGTTTCCAAAGATTAATCAAGAACTGTTGAGAGCTGTCGATGAACTTACATCACATGCAGTGTGCGGCATCGCTTTTGACAAACTACTTAGCATTTTCTGACTACCAGTCACCATAATAACTCCTGGATAATGTGCAGAATAAAGGAATATTTCAGTTAATATTAATATCGTAATACCCAATAATGTGGAGTGCTGTGTAAAAACATTTGCGTCAGCCATGATTCGAACCCAGATCTCATTTTTTGCATGAGCAAATGCTAACCGTTGCACCACCACGTTACAACATGAAAAGAATGCTGTGCAAAACGAACGACGGTGGTGCGATGATGGTGCAACGGTTAGCATGCGTTCCCGGAAAAAGAGATCTGGGTTCGAGTCCCGCCTGATGTTTGCACATCACTCCAAATTATTGGGTGTGCTGTAACGTCATACCACCGCAAGTGGCGGTCAAATAAAAAGAATTCTGACTGGATATCGTAATACCCTTCGTATAAATTATTACAATTGACTGAAAGCTAAAAGCAGTATGATCCATAGTGAACGAACATTTTTCTTCATAGACAAAAGTTTGTATATGCACGAAAGCATTACATAGTGAAAAGAAGTACGAAGTATCGGAAATAAAAAAGTCCAAAAAAATTTTATTTGAACGAAGAAGAGACCACAGTTAGATAACGGAAATCGCGTGCCGCTAGCGAATCGTGTTGTAGCAGAGGTTTTGACCGCCGTTCCCAAAGTCGAAATAATCCATTTGACTGGAGCATATGAACAAAGAGCAATAGAATAAAACGTTGTACTTTGGCATTTATGCAAGAGATGCACCGTGCGTACTCGACTCTATTCAGCATCGTAAAGGGTTCTGATCGCTTATCTGGCCTAATTAGCGATTACTGGTAGACGGCCGATGAATATTAGCACTTATTGTCTAAAACGCAGTTATAGTACCGATTCAGACCCCCGATGGCTGAAAGGCTTGTCTAGCCGTCTCAAAGGATCCAATTAGTGACCACTGTGTAATGTAGGCTACTTTAAATTATTGTGATAAATCAAAAAATTGACTCCCATTAAACCTCGACGTAAAAATTAAGAACGAGCTCACGAGTCAACCTCATTTATATAAAGCTTGCGTGTGATTTATATCTATCTAACCAGTGTCTTACGCAGCGATGAGGCGCTCTAAATTTATAGAGGGTTTGTCTTGGCTCTCCAACGCTGTGCGAAACTTTCATAAGATATTTTTTGAAATTTCAAAATTGTCTAAGATCAAACCTTTCACATAGATGTCAAGGCTTAAGCTCTCCTAAGCTTTTCATCTATGCAACGATTTTGAACATCAACAAAGAACTGAGAAAAATTGCTATGTTTTGATGGATAGTTGTAACACCCACCATTAACATTATATTAGTCGCAAATCAGCTTGCGGTGACTATGCTTTCAATAAGGTCTATTAAAACCTTATGGACTTCCAATAGTTCGCGCTCATTGTAGGCTGCTTGAGGATAAAACTATAAAAACAATGGTTGAAACTCATCGTAGACAACTCGAACAAATATCAGTGATTTCTCCATTGCTCTGTGCAAGAGTTCCCTCATTTGTGAGATATAAGAACATTACTAGCACAAGCCTGTGTACTTTTACTATTTTTTTGCGGTTAGGTACCTGTTCGCAACTCAAGCAACTTATACCCAATATGTGGAGTACTGTGCAAAAACGTATGCGTCAGCCGGGATTCGAACCCAGATCTCACTCTTTCCGGGAGCGTATGCTAACTATTGCACGACCCTCCACATATTGGGTATAAGTATAACATCATACCACTGCAAGTGGCAGTCAAAATAGAAAGAATTTAGATTGATCATCGATATCCAATGTCTGTCAACACAAGTGGGTTCAATGTCGATAGCGGCTGCCCCGCCAGACCGTCGACGGTTGGCTGTTGGCAGACAACGCGTTGTAGCGAAAATAAGAGTGCTGTGCAAGAATGAGCGTTGGCAGTGCAATGGTTAGCATACGCTCCCGGAAAGAGTGAAATCTGGGTTCGAATCCCGGCTGACGCAAACGTTTTTGCACAGTGCTCCACATATTGGGTATAAGTATAGCAGCATACCACTGCAAGTGGCAGTCAAAATAGAAAGAATCTAGACTGATCATCATGCAACTTATTTTCGAATTTGGGGCTTGTTAAGCATACAATGTACGCAAATGGTTTTTTTCAAGCACTCATTCACAATAACGATTATATATTCGTACACAAAGAATATGAAGTATTAACTTGCGTACAACGAAGGGCCGGTGTATGTCGTGGGGAATTGTCGGATGTGGTCAGGTCACTTCTCCGCAATAACGGCACGCCAAAAGGCCACTAATGTGAGCACCACTTTACTCGTTCAGTGGTACATTTTGCATTCGACTCGATGCGACGGTACAAAAAGCAACATCGAGAGCCTTTTCCTACTATGATATTTTCGGGAACTAGTTCGTTTTGCACGCAGCGATAACGTTTCTATCAAAAATAAAAAAACTGTCTCGTAGAAATTTTCTACACGCTCAATAGCTGCACGCTCTCACGGAATTACCAAAATTTTGCAAGTCACATACCTATTGGACAAATGATTCCAGGAATTGCCATCGGATGAGCGAATTCAAGTTGGTATATTTTCATCCGTATTCCTGATGCGCTGGCTGAAAATGACACGGAAAACCGTCGGCAGCTACTTGAAAGCCGGAAAAACTCGACTGCCGGTTGAGAAGTAAATGTTGCTCAGTGGGTAACACAAATACTGACCAACTCAGGACTGGAGACACACAAAAGAAACTGGAACCTCAAAACCACCATGCTGGATTTTTTTCTTCGCACACAACAATATACGTAAACTTAAGTAACGTCTCTATAAAAGCAGACAAATCCAAATATTCCGACTATTTTTGCCTCGTCACTGCATCTACTGGGCCAAGTGAAATCAACCCGCATTTGTTATTTGCGCGAAAACTTCTGTAACTTTCCAACAGGCGATTTAAGTACTACTTTAGAGCCATGTAGTTGTAAGAAAAAGTCCGAGCAAAAATGAGTGGGAGAGATCCCAGCTCTAACAGATGCGCTGATTAGACAGCTAACATCCAATAACCTTATAATTGAAGAGTTAAATCCTTTGCTCCTGAAAACGTCTTAGAATCATTTTTATGACGCCTTTCTTAAGAAAAAGAACGAATGCCTATTCAGTCCTCCATTGATATCAGTTAGTTATTAAATATGGGTATTTTGAGCCTGAAAGACTCTTTCATATTATAACAACCAAAAAAAGGACTTAGCAATTAAAAGTGGCTCTATTTCAGCTTACTGACATAATTTGGGCTGTGTTTGTAGTGCTTATAACAAGCAATGTTTGCTCCAAAATGTAGAGAGTTATTAACTATTGATATGTGATTCTCTTGATTTGTTAAGACACCAACTTATATCAACACTTTCATAAAGAAGAGAACCGTATTCGGTTCTGTATTATTGTGTTTTTGAGAAAATTATATTCTGCGATGTAATGCCGGTGCTGCAGTGAAACAAAAAATTTGCATGAAAATAGAATGAACGTCCTCTGTAAGTGGTATGTGTAGTAAAGCTTTAGTCTTCTTATCGCCCTGTTTTTGTATCTACCGCTTGAATGTCGTTTAAATCATTTCTAAAAGAAATGAGTAGTCGAAAGTGGCTAAAATTCAACTTTACTGATGCTATTGCCGTCGAGTGTTTTGTTCAATGGAATAAAGCTGACGAAAGTTGCTTTACAAATGATCGAACACAAGATGTGTTCGTCATCGAAAATTTCTCATTTTCCAAAAATTTATTTTCAGACATGCAAATAGTATTTCTGATGGTCGTTGCTTCCATGACATCTGCTCAGTGGACAGTAACAGTAAGTTTAAGTGTTTCTACCATCATATCTACAATTTCTCTCATGTAGTTCTTTCTGATCATAATATTTTGACGCATGAATTTAATAAAAATCAGTCGTAATAATGCTTTTCAGAATGAAACTTTTGTTGACAGCGATATAGACTTCAATGTCACTGCAACGAATTCAACACGGTCAAAGCGATTCGGCTGTGCATGCTCTCCGGTATTCAGTAAAAACTTATTCAATCAAAATTTCAGTGTTCTTTTTTCTGTGAAAGGAAAAGTAAGTTTTTTGTTTGCTGGTCAAAAAGTCAGTGATCACTGACTGTTTTTTAAAAAGTCATGAGTAGAAAAGCTTTCTGTTCCATAGGTCTTTCAATTAAACCGCTTGTAAAACGGCGCAAAACGTTAACCGTACTGACTTAATACTTTAAAAACCTTGTAACACTCTCACCTTAGAACTTTCAATGAGCTGAGCGTCTTGAGCAATTACAGTCAAGTATATTCAGTATTGATACAGCGGAGTGATATGTGAATTCTCTCCTAGATGGCTGCCAACCACAAAGGAATAAGCACTGATAGATTACAGATGCATGAATATATTTATGTAACCATATAGATCTCATACCTCTATTACTTCTTCTGATCAGATATGTTTTAGGCTTGCTTTCCCCGGCTCCACCCATCATTGTGAGGTGCCCAGTCAGGGTTCCAGTTGGCGTCCCTTGTCCTGTTCCACATCCGGTTCCAGTGCGTGTTCCAGTACAAGTTCCCGTTCCCGTACCACAACCAGTACCAATTATATGCACTCAAGTACCGATTCCTGAGCCCGTACCTATGCCCGTCCCTAGACCTGTACCTGTTCCTTTTCTGGATCCTGTACCAGCACCATATCCCGTACCTACTCCAGTTCGTTGTGCACCACCACCGTGCTGTCCATGTGTAAGTTTTACAATTTCGTTTGGGCACAATCATTTTACAGCAATATATATTAATAGTATTAATAGTGTAAGCCTGAGGATCCTAAAACTCCTTCCCAGCCCAAAATTCACAAGTCTTAATCTGATATGGTAGCTGCAGTTTTTCGAAATAGTTATTCCAACTCTAGTTCGGAGTGGGGAGCAGAGTTAGGAGACGAAAGCAATTAAAACATCAGTCGTTACGATTATCATTGAGCAGCTAATACAAAGAGTGAAAAAATTTTCATTAGGAGAATGCAGTTTTGACAAGCCCGATTCTTATTACAGAATATTTTCCGTAATAATGTTGTCTCATACTGCACATGGGAATTTTCTCCAGCTCTTGAAAGCATCGGTCACTCTTTTTCGCTAGAAATCGTGCACTCGGTCGCAAATTTTGCTGCAACTTGGGGAACTATGAACTTCTATTCTCAATGACAACTGGATGTCGGTGAACGTGATTTTACTCAGAGAACCGACATAGCCGTGCTAGGGCGTTCATAGGCAGTTGTCGGCCTTTGCTAACATGTGATTTCGATTTTTTCATTGCCG